TAATGGCTTACCCGCCAGGGCGGGGCATGCATGCACCCTAGTAAGTAGCTTCAGCACGACCGCCCACGTCATTGCACGAAGAGAAGATCAGCAGATACAACCCCGCTCGGAGAACACTCTGCAGTGACCTGATTCTTCTATTTTCTTTACCAATTACCCTATCAATGAATTAACGTCTGTTGTTGGGTGAGCAGTTAGCCGGCCAGCAGTCATAGAATATTACGTGCACTGTCTTCGGTTAACAAGATAGTCTCGGAGGCAAACGGATTTAGCCAGTAAGTAGCTACCAGAGCGTGCAAGATCGTTGTGATCTGCAGTTGATGCTGAAGTAATCCAAGACAGGAGAAACCTTAAGATCCATAGGCGGATAATTTCTCCCCGCAAATATCGCTCAGGCACTCCTCCCCAGTCGGTTATATTGCAACGCGTGTTGCGTAGACCGACACATGTTTGTCCTGCATTTCCCCGCCTGAAGAACCTGACAATCAAGGCTTATCCACGGACATGTCCGCGAATTGCAGACAACCGCTCCGGAAAAGGCTTTGCGCTACTGTTCTTATTGGCGACATCCTCAGGAACTGGCTTTGATCATGCGGTCATCATCAGGGGCTTCGGGGATGTGCATTCACTATGCAGAATTCCGGGAAGTCGCATGTAAAGCGTTTATATAAATGGGCCTTGCAGAACACCCCGAGGGGACAAATCGAGCTAACTCCAGGCAGCACCTAGTACAATGCATCTTGGCAACAGCTTGAGATTGCTCTGCCTCGCAGCACCAGGCCTCGTCGCCTCAATTTCTTCTTCTCCTCTATCCACCTCAGGTCGATGGGTTGTCGACACCGACGGGAACAATGTCACCTATGCGGGGGTCAACTGGCCCGGTGCTGAGGTGGCCATGTTGCCTGAAGGGCTGCAGTATCAATCCATCGAGTACATCGTCGGCAAGATCAAGGATCTAGGCATGAATGTCATTCGCCTTACTTTTGCTATCGAAATGATCGATGACATCTACGAGACCGGAGCGGACGTACCGATCAAAACGTCCTTGATCAACGCTCTGGGCGAAACAAACGGAACCAAGATCTACGACGATATCGTCAGTAACAACCCACAGTTTGGGGAAAATACTACACGACTGGAGGTAAGCCGTATCCCTCAGAACTCATTACATTCGATATTAAAAGTGTCTAGGTATACGATGCAGTAGCCGAAGAATGCTACAACCAAGGTATCTACGTGCATCTAGACAACCATGTCTCCAAAGCAAGTTGGTGCTGCTCGACTACCGATGGAAACGCCTGGTTCGGAGATACTTACTTCAACGTAAGCAACTGGCACAGAGGTTGGAAGTATATGGCCGAGCACGTAAGCTACATACCCTTCCCATCTTCAGCCCTCAGGCCTAACGCAAATACGATACAGGTCAAATCCCTGCCCGCCGTAAAAAGCATTGGCATGCGCAACGAACTTCGCAGCCCCGACGACAACACGACACTTGCAGACAACACCTACAACTGGGAAACATGGTACAGCAACATGGTCGAGAACGCGAACCAAGTTCACTCCGTCAACTCAGACCTACTCCTCTTCTTCTCAGGTCTCAATTACGATGTCACGCTCTCACCGATACCGACTGCCTCAGACCTAGGCGACGGCACCGTCTTCAAGAAGAGCGATTTCGACTTTGAAGATAAAATTGTACTAGAGCTTCACAACTATGACTCATCTGCTACAAGCTGCAGTAGTCTTTCATCTAGCTTGTTGAGCGATGGCTTCGATGCCCTAGAGACGGACGACTCGAGCATCGTGAATGTGCTTCCGGTCGTGATGACAGAGTTCGGGTACGAGCAAGATGATTCCACCTATACGGGAGTATATGCCTCATGCCTGAGGGAATGGCTGCCTAGTGTTCATGCCGGGTGGATGATTTGGGTGCTTTCGGGCAGTTATTATATCCGCCAGGGAATACAGGATTATGATGAGACTTGGGGTAAGTTTACCGTTCCTTATCCTTGCTGTCAGCAGTCCGCGATAGGTGACTAATTATTCATCACTAGGTCTCCTAGATCATACGTGGTCTGATTGGCGATCAACCGAGGCAATTGATAATGGCATCATTCCTATGGTCAACGCGAGTCTGGGATAGGTTTGGGATACTAACTGACCTCGTCGGTATACTGGTGTCCATGTAACGAAGGGTTTTGAACTTGGTCCTGCGAGAGTCCAGCAATAGCAATCTACTCATTTCCCTTTCACTCTACACAATCAACATTTCCTATGTAGTATGTATGTAGGTATCTATGTTCGCTAATACTAGCACAGCCGGGGTGTTCTTTCAACTACCCTCCTTATTGATTCTCCAAATTTTAATTATATCTAATATTTAGAGTGCAAAGGCACTGTATCCCGAGAATTAATTATACTATATCTAATACCAAGAAACTCAGCCCTTACAAATCTGCCAAGTCCTAATGCCGCCGCATATGCGGTGCACCATGACCAACCCCAGTGGATTAGGGTTGAACCAGATTCAATAGGGGCTTTAAAATACCGAAACCAAAAGATATATTTGGCAGCTTGATCGGGGATTCGAAGCTTGGCAGGCGGGTCCGGACTAGTAACTTCAGGCTGGCAGGTCTTATCTACTAACCAAGCCCGAACCTGAGCCGATCACGAGTGGGCCCGGGCGAGCCCTGTCAAGTCTAGACAGGGTAAGATGGCAAAATCTACCCATTGGTATTAAGGCCTGATTGACCTCCGAAAAGGATTAAAAAGCGAAGAAAATGCGCGAAACAGCGGTCTGCGAGATTTTTACATATGTACGTTTATATGATTTGCTAGTCTGTGTTGGGCTGCTGCGATCGGCAAGCCAGAATACGATAGTTGGAGATCGGCACAAATAGGTCATTCCAAAATTCTCAGTCGCGCATATCATTTAGATTAACGATCTGCCACTTATATCCGAGGTTCCATCTTTCCTTCTTTTACTCCGTACAAAACTATTGAATCGGAATCAGTTACCGACAAGCTGGTCCAGTCGATCCGGGGCATTTCTGCGCCGTCTCCAAACTCCGCTCCGAGCTGGACTGCAAATTTAGGAGGCCATAAAGGTTACTTAGAGCATAATTCAGCGAAGAAGTGGAGTATCGGTCGCGATCGCCGACTCTATCAAGCATTGTTTTTGTTTTATTGAATATTAGCTATAAATGACTCCCCTTCCCCCGCGATGCAGCACTAATCACATCTCTCATCATCTTCTCTACCTTTTCCTTCCCAAGGCCTACCACGGATCAGGACCAAGCATCTATCCAGACCATCAACATGGCCACTCACACAGATTCTCCCTCCGCTTCCACCGACAGCTCCGTGACCCGCACCCTTTCCACCTGGCTTGAAGAACTCACCCCGGACTCCATCCCTATCGAGATACGTACGCGAGCCAAATACCAAATTCTCGATGGCTTAGCCTGCGCCCTTCTGGGCGCGCGACTTCCTTGGTCTGTGAAAGCACACGACGCTATCACTGCCATCGAAGGACGCGGTAAATGTACCGTGATTGGATGGAATGAGGTATACCTGGAATCCCTTCCAATGATTCCCAACGCTAAGTATCAGTGGGCATCGACAAGGCTAAGTTACTAACAATGATAATGACAATAGACCCTGACACCCAGTGCTGCCGCCCTCCTCAACAGCACCTTCCTCCAAGGCTTCGAAATAGATGATGTACACGTCGAAGCCCCCATTCATACTTGCTCCGTCGTCCTACCTGCTGTCCTCGCTGCTGCAGAACAAGAGCACAGCTCAAATACCCCCGTCACTGGGAGTGCCTTGATAACCGCCTTAGTAGCCGGCTACGAAACCGGTCCTCGCGTAGGGCATGCTCTAGGTGGAGCGCACATGCTTACAATGGGCTGGCATTCCGGTGCAATCTTTGGTCCTGCTGCATCTGCAGCTGCCGTCTCCAAGCTTCTTGGTTTCTCTGCTGCGCAAATTGAAGATGCTTTAGGCATAGCATGCACACAGGCCTGTGGGCTTATGTCTGCGCAGTTTGAGAGTATGGTTAAGCGCATGCAGCATGGCTTTGCATCACGGAGTGGTGTGCTGGCTACATATCTAGCAAAGCAGGGAGTTACTGGGATTAAGGATGTTTTTGATACCTCATCTGGGGGCTTTCTAAAGACATTTTCACATGGAGCGGACTCTGATCCTAAGTTCTTCCCAGAAGAGGTATGTAAGGGGCTTGGAGAAGTATGGCACTCAGAAAAGACACGGCAGAAGCCGTATGCATTAATGGCAGGTTCGCATTGTACGGTGGATTGTGTTAGGGATTTGCAGGCTAAGTATCCCGCGAAGATGAAGGAGTGGAAGAAGATGGTGAAGATTGAGGCGGAAATGGCCAGGGCAGCTATGAAGAAGGGTGGCTGGACACCGGAGAAGCCAACTAATGTGACAGGAGCACAGATGTGTGTGCCATATGCAGTGGCATTGCAGGTAGTGGATTGGGAGGTAGTACCAGCACAGTTTGCACCAGGAAAGCTGAATCGTGAGGAGTTGTGGAAGGTGATGGAGATGATAGAGTGTCGAGAGGCTAAAGAGTTTGGTCATTCATGGGCACAGCGGGTGAGGATTACCTTTGAAGATGGAGAGATACTGGAGACCATGTTAAAGGCACCAAGAGGGGTGCATCCTGGATTATCAAACGAAGAGGTGCTAGAAAAGTGGCGGGCTGTTACAAAAGGAGTGATCTCACAGGAGAGGCAGAGGAAGATAGAGGAAACAGTGTTGAACTTGGAGGCAGTGGAGGATGTAGTGGCTGTTCTGGGTGAGCTGCTGAGAGGAGAGACAGCGAATGTGCTTCAATAGATGCTGCTTGGTTCCCCACTGGTTAGAATATAATCTCAGTTACCATGTATCGGACTTGGGTGGCTTCATGACCTCCCCTCAAGAGATGCCCCGACAGACCAGGCACTAACATGGTGCGTTCGATGTCTCGCCCCATGGCTGCTACTGCTCTAGTTGCGGCTGCTGCTCTGCTGGTTCCCCTGCCCACTGGTCTTGCTGAAGCCAACAAACACCAGCTATGTGGACCACAACGTCAAAGCCAGTCCGGACCTGTATGACTTCACCACGGAAACCATTGCATTGTGCGGGGTACTGCTACAGGCACTCTCAAGCTTACACTGGAGCGTCATTCTGGCTGGGTTCGGTCAGTCGCACTCTCAGTTAAAGGCCAGCTTCTGGCATCAGGCTTCATTGATAACACGATCAAGATGTGGAATGCATGTGGCGGCACTCTCAAGCATACCTTGAGCACTGATGGTTTTGTCACTGTCACTGAGATTTCTGAGCACCTGCCGCTATTGAGAACCAACATAGGCTCTTTTGATATCTATATCGGCTACGAAGACTTTTTATCATATTCCTCCACAAAAGGGATAGTGGTATCTCTGGGAGCAGATCGATGGGTCAATATTCAAGGTCAAAGAGAGCTCTGGCTCTTTCCCACTTATCAACCTAGCTCCTCAACGGTTAAAGACGGTATTATCGCATTTGGTAACACGAGCGGCAGAGTAGCTATAATTGCGTTTTCATCCTACGCAGGGTTTCGTTTCTATCTCTGGTGATCTTTTGATTCTCTTTATCTCTTCAAAAGACAGGTTAAATAGAAGGGCTTTAGGAAAGCAAGTTTAAGGGGGTAAAAAGAAAAAGAAAGAAAAAGAAAGAAAAAGAAAAGAAATAGAAGTAAAGATTAGAGTCAAAAGAGACATGTAGAAACATATATTTGAAAGAAACAGAAATAAAGATTGAAATAGAGGTAGAAGAGGCGCGCAAAAGCAAGTGTTTGGGTGGAAGAGAAGCAAAGGATGAAATAGAGGTGGAAGAGGCCAACGGCATTTCTTATATACCAGATTCACAAGGTACTGCACAATTACGAATATTGTAAGGCCTCGTAGTAGGTACCTCTGACATCGTATAACTTCAGAGCCAAACCGACTTTGCTAGATCGTAATATTTCAATATCGATAAACGTTGCCTTCTAAGGATTATTCCCATAATGCTTCTTCATGTTTGTGTTCTCGAGATAACCGTGTGATTGGCTCATCCATTGTGAAGCAAATAATGCTAGTTTAGAAGGGCTACAACGGGTGTCAGGTTTGCGTCTCATATGGATATAAAAGAATTGATAATAATCTAAAGGCAGAATCCTAAGTAATACATATTTGCACAATCCGAAATACTAGTCTTATCTTAGCAATTGTTCCGAACGTCTGAATAGCAGGCTATCATCAATAAGCCGAGAGTACCAGATCCCGCAATAGCCAAATCCGTTACTCATCCATTGCCTATTGCTGACAGACCGTGGCTCAGTTGATGTAGCACTTGACAGACTGGACGCGGTTGGAGGAGATGCTGTTGCTTCCATTGGACTGGATGTCGCCAGTGCCACCGCCGTTGCAGCGGTCGGACCTACAGAGCAAGAAAGAAGCACAAGTCAGCCAGGGATGTCAGCATCAAAACACAAAGAAGAAGAACATACTCCCAGAAGCGGCAACGGTATCCCGTAGGGATCCAGACCGAGTGGACATTGTCGTTGACTGGCTTGTCTTCCAGGTTGACTAGATGCAATCAAACGATCAGCTATGAAGGCGGAAAAGGAGAAATGAACGGGGTTGGGTGATTGTTACATACAGCAGTCATGCTGGGTCTTGATGGAAATCTTGCTGCAGGTTCCTCCCAAGTTCTCTCCATCGCATGCCCGGATCTCGATAGTGTCTTGTCTCTGCTCGAGAGCGCCGGGAGCGGCAATGGCGCCGGTGATGGCGGTAGCGAGCATCAGGATGGTAGCAGTGAATTGCATCTTGAATGATCTAGGTAGACGGGATAGTCTTGAAAGATTTGGATAGATAGAGAGGATTGTTGTTGGAAAGCTGTTCTTAGAGAAGCTGATTGTTGTTGTTGATGATGAGAAGGATACTCCAGACCAGAGCGCTGTACTTATACCCTTTCCTGGGACTTCTATCTCAAGACTCCAAGTCTCCCCCAACTCTACGACTTGTACAGAAACCAACAATATGTCTCTACTCTGGGGCCAATTTCTGCCTTGTGAGTCTGGAACATGTGGATGAACTGTAGATAGCTACCGAGAGGCGTCTTTTACTGGTCTCCTCGTCTGGCCTCCATCATCCGGCCCCAGCATCTACATCACAACCCTGGTATGTGATGGCGCAGCATGAATAGACCAACCAGTCAAGATGTAACATCAAGGTTCCTTCAGTCTTCTTCCCTGACATTAACATTTGCCAAGGTACTCCGCCCCCAGTGAACTTCTTCGTGCAGTGTGGAGGGCCAGAGACCTGCCATCGAGAAATGAAGTGCCCCCACAAAATCAGCTCATCAATGCAGCCGGGTCTCTGAATCTAGAAAGCTTTGAAGCATAGATGAGAGCCTTGTGTCGCAAAGCGTTTACTGCATTGAGTAATTGTGCTGCTCTTATTATCCAAAAAGGGCTTACATAAATCTCGGCGCATTCCCACGTTTCATGTGTCACTTGATGACGGGCCGGCGCGCCACATCCACATCACAATTATCAGACTTTGAAGCAGTACTTGACCGTATAATGCCCAGGGACAGCACAATCGAAAAGCTTAGCGCAGTACCTTACACAACAACACCTAAAGAAAACATTATCCATTGTTCCTTTACGGGAACAAAAAGGTAACAGAGTACATTTCGAAGCTGCAGTTTAGGCAACATAACGCGTGTAATGGGGCAATGCCACTAAAGCTATTCGCCCCAATCTTCGGCATATGATGAATAATGAAGCCCGAAGGGATCCTTCAGGATCTCTTCCTCGCCCCACGACCCTGCAGCAAGGAAGGAAGCTAACTTATTTAGGCTGTATAGCTGGATGTTCCTGAGCGGATGATTGGCTTGCTCGGGTACCTGAACCGTGCGTAGGCGGCGATTGCAGGCTGCGCTTACCAAATCACTCCATAGATCCTCAACCCTCATACCTAAGCAGGGTATGCTCCGTCTTGGCCTACATAGGAGTAGTGCTGACATATATGCATCACAAAGTAAGCAAAGCCATATGCAGGCGCTCTGTCAGGTACTGAAGTTCTTGATTAAGGGCCAGTATCTGTCTTGCATTTGAACCTTTAACACGCGCAGGACAGAGCTTTGATCATGCTCAGGATTCTATATGCAAAATAGCTATAGTACAGTGTGAATGGAAATCAGAAGGTCGCTCACCTGTTGAGAGTCTGGAGTATCATTCAAATCACCAACAGATATATCCACCATCTCGATGAAACAGACTCAGCCATAATCCTGCCTGTTATTTTCTGTTTTGCCTGGAAGTTGCGAGCCAGTAATGTCGACCTGAACGTCTTGGTCCCTGTGGCTGGGCTCTCTCCTTCCCGATCGGTTGAAGGAATCGCCCGACAGGATCAAGTTCAATCTGTGCACCAATCATTATCCTCCCCCTTTGTTGGCTATATGGGAAGTCAAGGAACAATCATGCCATAGAAGCTCATCAAATCAGCTTGCTTATGGTTCAGAGGGCAGAAACATTATAGTTCGGATCATCTCCGCGTCAAGTCGGCGCCTTATCTCAGAGTCTCCGGTGCGTCCAGGTCAACAGTTTCTGAAGTGTTTGAGCAGAGTATAGAGTGTCCCACTACCCAACACCACGTCAGCTATATCAAAGCTCTCCAAGTGACTACGTCATCATGGTAGATACCTGCGGGATTCCTAGGCTCGCCCATGTCTATCAATGGACCGAGTCTGTAATTATCTAAATATTGATGCCTGAACCTACATCTTTGGTATTAAGGAACCTATCAGCACCTTCGTGGACTGGTGCTCGTAGCCTGAGGACAAAACTCTTAACTATTGTCGATGAATGTGATGAGCTGTAATGTTTTGAGTTGATTTTGGTAACATAGACATACTGTGAGTAAAAGCTTAATTTGATACAAGGTAGCTAGGCATTGGAAGCTTATCTATTATGTAGAGAGAAACCCTTCGTAGAAAGCTTGGGGTTGTTTCTGGAACTATCGTCTCGCTCCTCGGTCGCTTACTGCTTGATACTAGTAGTGGATTTAGCATTGGAGATGATGAATAATTCACGCAATATCATGTCTCAGAGACGATGATATACTCCATAAATATGAATTTACCCATTTCCTTATAGAAAATATCATTGATCTCGTCAACTTCAGGTTTCTGGAACTGTGGGTGTAATTTTCTCGACTATGCCGGTAGCAAATATATATATATGTCCATAGTGTGCAACCCCAGGGCTCCAAGGTCGTGCGTGACGTCAAACTGAATGTCAGTCCATCATGTCGAGCAAACCCTCAAGAAGGTGGAAAATAAATACTTTCTTAAGTTCTAGAATTGAAATGGTATATTATTTCACAGAGGAATGGCTCCTCAACTGGATAAGTTACTGACAATCTCGTCGGCAACTCCATAGCGCCAGGACAGGCTGTAGAAACTGTTCTGGTCGTAGTGTGCGAATTATACATAGCATGCAGTTACTATATCCTTTTTATACCTCACTATTACTTATACCAAGGTGACAAAGACGCCATGGGATCGAATATACTGGATTTTTGCCGAGCGCGGCGACATGAGACGGCCAGCTCGGTCGGAGATATTTTGGCAAATACTCGGTAGCTGCTCCGCTCATTATGTAGCGTATACTAGTACTCGCGGGCTGATCGGCCCCCATTGACCTTTTGCTTTCCGAATGTCGAGACTGGGTCATTTATGCTGTTTCCAGATGAATTTATGCAGATGAATTATGAAAATCTGATTGGGTATCTTATAAGCCGTTTATAATATTATAATCGCGATTAATCCTGATCCCCCCAACCCCCAAACGCCGTGAACGTTCATAAACCAAAAGATACCGAATCATTGAACAGCAACAGTAGGCACTTTTGACCAGTCGCGACACATTCCCAGGACAGTCCGACAGAATTTTCCGTACTCAACTCTCACGTCGAAGGCCCTCCACGATCCCTGTGCCAGGTGCCTCAGGCGCGCGGAAGGGTCAGTGATTGGCTTGGAGCCCATATTGCCATATTTGCCGCGTCCCGGACTATATCATCGTGTCAGTTCTTTGTTTCTATCATCGATCAATGTATGAGCTCATCATACCTGAATCCAGTAATTGGGAGGATAAGCACATCATCAACCAGCTTACTCTTCCCTCCGTCCTTCAGACCTGACAGTGCATGCCAGCGTAAGCCAGCCACCTCTTCCAGTCTACTCCGCACGACGTCGGTGAAGGCAGCAGGACCGGTAAGCGTGAGCGGATCCAGATTCATAAGCTCTTGTCGAGCGGCTCGTGATTGGAGTGATCCACCGTAGCGGTTGGAGATATCTCCTATCGTTGCTGATAGCCGGTCGATGAATGTCTGCAGGATAGGATGGCCCGGGGCCCAGGCAAACGCCCACTGCGTAAGCTGCACGGGCTGTGAGTAGCCCATGCGCCAGTACGTATCGGACCCCTCAGGGCAATCAGCCTCGAGGCCGACAATCGCGCGTACTGGGGCGGTCGAGTTATAGGATGTACCGGCTCGTGTATCGTTCCAGGCATGCAGATCGGTCGGGGTGATCCAGTCGGCAGGTTTGCGAAGCGGTTCGGTATCGATATCGCCATACTGTTCTGATTAGAACTATGTTCCGACTCTTAAAGTTGTTCCTGCACCTACCACGCCTCCAATCCATTTGGAGATCACGATGCGAAACACATCTGATCGCTCAACATTGCGCGCCAGATGCGCATAGTGGCTCTCCAGGTCCGGCTCAAAGTGGTGAATGAATTGTTCCATTCCCTCGTCTGTCCACAGAAAGTAGGCCATCTCGCCTTCGGCAGTCTGAAGCCATCGCTCTGCGCTGTGACGGATGATATGGGGCCAGGTGTCGATTCTTGTGTTTTTCCAGGTTTGATGTACGATCATAGGAATTGTTGAGTGAGGAAGGTACCCGTCTGGGGAAGCTCGGGCGGCGCTAAGAGCTAGCTCGGCCGCTTCGACAATATTCTTCGGAGGTGGTTTGGATGCGCTGGTCCATTTGGGCGGGATATACCATGCTGTAAGAGAACAATTGGGTCAGTCAGTCAGTTGTGTCTACAGAATTGTGAATGATCGCCTACCTCCTCCCTCGGTATTGTGTGTGTGGACATGACGGTACAGTAGTGGGTACTGATCCTCGAGATCTATCGGCTTAGTGTCGAACTTGGTACGTTGCTGGCAGATGCAAATCATTAACACCGCGCCGATAAGGGCGATGATGGCCAAACGCCGCAACCGAGTAGGTGCCATACCGTAGGTTTCTCACAGCATTTTCATCTTCCGGAAGACAGATGAGAGAGATATGTAGGATGATGAGGGGGAAAAGGGGCTCAGCCCCACGTGACGGTAGCCAGGCGCAGCCAGAAGAAGAAGCCTTGGAAAGTTCCGAATTACACTTTTTGTGGTTTTTCAAAAAACAGTTCACATGTATGGAGTACACTAGTAGAAAGTAGTTGGTTACATGTCGAACAGATTGTGATGTGGCCCACAGTGGGATCCGCCATAATTTTGGGGCTACCGCTTCCCCCTCTAGGAAGGTATGAAGCCATACTACATGATCAAAACATTGATCTTTCCTTACCTTCTCAAAGATCTGCTGGCTGGCAAAAGCATTGACTAGCCACCTATGTCAATGCTAAATTTCATTGCCTTTTTACGACAATCATGCAGCAATAACAAGCCCTTGGAGACGGCCGCGGTGGAAAGCGCGCCCGACAAGCCAGCCCCCAACACCCACAGCACCCGTTGGAGCATAGAAACGAATACGAACCCACTGCCACAGAAGCAGCAGTTCTAGGCTGCTACCTTCGAAACCCCATCCATTAAATCCTGGCGCAGCGAATAAAACCCTCTCTGCCACATTACTGGTATGTTTCAGGGTTTCCCCTGCGTCAATTTGACGTTCCGAAGGGTTGTATACGACTATACGTGCAGCTCAGGTCAAGGGGTACAAAGGGCTGAGCAAGAGATTTCCCGATCGGGAAGAGCATGCGAGGCTACGCTAAACCTTATACAAGACATACTAACCATGTGTGGCATAGTTGGTATCTTTTAATAACCAATTCACAGCCTGATGAAAGAAATCCTGAATCCTGATTGTGAGCGATCTTCAGTGCAAGGCTGTGACTTAGGGCTGTGTCGAAGGGATCAAATTAGATCTCCTTGAAACGCAAAAGCCTGTTCCTTCTCACGTCAGATGCAATTGCAGGAAATGTATTGGGGAACTGCAAAAATCTGAATTGAGATCCGCAGTGACAGGGACTGAAGAGCACAGGACGGTATTGGGGACGAGGGACCAGCCTTGTCTGGCTTGGCGCACCCTTTTTTTGTGTTGATCATGGGCCAACCGGCTGATCCAGGGTCATTATCACGTGATAGTTGCAAATCCTTGTTGCCGCTTACATAATTTAATAACTGGTGCACGATTGGCTACTGCGTTCTGACGGAAATTTCCCGGCGCACTAGCAGGAAGCCAGCAAATAGTCTCGAATTAGCCCGTGTAATAGTGTCGGCATTTATGCTTATTCTGCCACAACATGAAAATCTCGATTCTGCAGAATCATCACATTTATGGGGGTCATTCAGGGGTTGGACGTTAGTCTTTGAAGCGGTTGGAATTTTTGTTTTCGCGATGTGTGGTCAACAATTGCCATGCTTCAGCCTTGCCATCACACGGAAATTGATGAGGGATGGTGACAGACTGTGCAGGATCAGTCGGTCCTTCTTGGCAAGGATTATGCCTCCTGCTAACTGCTTCAAGTAGGAGCTGTTGGTCCACGTCACCTGTGTCATACGTAATACATCTCAATGATGCCTACTGCTGTCAGCACGGAATATCTCTATCCCGCTGGCAGACCTGCACTTGTTTGACACAAGGATATGACGATGGCTTATGCGGAGACATACTACTGTAGTAAGCTACCAACTATACTTCAATCGGTCAAGTACGGCCGTGGAAAGGTAGCGAACCATACTAGTACTCTGTTCGCAGCTTCAATAGGGCTGACAACATCGAGAAATGAAAGAATACTATAACTATATCAATCTGACGATGTGCCCAAGTACTATGCTGCATCTCTACGTCAATATACTACTTGCACTGCCTTCTGTCTATTATCCAATTAGTCATATGGATGGTCCCCGGTCATAGCCTACTAGTTATTGCTTTGACAATTCGTCCGACAGTTACATTCGAGAAGCTCATCTTGTAGCTATTTACACCATACATCTACCATTTCTACAGAAGCGCTACACCGACGTCGATTCCCATACAGACACCTGATTCCAGGGTTCAGATTGCAGCCTGGAGATGGGAATCACGGGATTAAATTGGAAGTACTAGTTATGCTTAGTATGACGACCATCCATAGGCCACACAACTCACACAAATTAACTAAATTCACCATCAAAATATATACCCCAAAATGAAGCCTAGGTCCCCTCATTTCTCAAGCAAGATAACCCAAACGGCGGCTACCATCACCTCAAACGAAGAAATAAGCTACCATGTGGGCCACCGTGCAGCCAAGCGGGCCGAACACCCTCGGGGAACAACACCGAGATAGCATACTGGCATCGGTGCGACACCCGAAACAACATCACTGATTGCCCTAGTTATGGCCAACTCACGATATCTGAATATACCCCGCACTGGGTATTGCAAGCTATGACACCCTTCTAAGGTGCAAGGTGCAAGGTGTAAGTCATACGATTGCTTGGTCTTGCACGGTCATCATGTCATCTGCTGAGGAGTCAAGCATAGCACCTGTATATACCTCGAAATGGAGAGATACTGTCAAGGATCTGGTTGCGGGAGCGGCGGGGGGCGTTGCGCAGGTGGTTATAGGTCAGTGTATACCATGATCCTGAGAGATTTGAGTGCTTGTGATTGTACTTACAGGATAACAGGACAACCATTTGGTAAGTGCCACCGTACGCATGACACATGGGCTTCACCTCATCGCCATAGCTGCTGTTGCAGAAGGCTGAACAGTATCCAGACCTCGTCAAAGTCCGCCTCCAAACCCAAGGAGGCACAAACAACAACGCTCTCTTCCTAACCCAGCAAATCTGGAAGCGCGAAGGCCCGGTATCATTCTACAAGGTGATTGCCCACCACAACTCATCTATAACCATCCTGACTGTCTCTCTCACTCCAGGGCTCACTCATCCCCTTACTAGGCGTCGGCGCCTGCGTAAGTCTCATCCTCTATCATACCCACCACTAAGCCTCACTTGCTAAACGTTAAAAAAAGGTAAGCATCCAATTCGGCGCCTTCCACTACTTCCGCCAGCTCATTGAGCACCACAACCACCAAACGCACCCAAACAACCCTCCAACCCCCACCCTTCCCCAATACTACCTCGCCGGCTGCTTCGCCGGCCTAACCAACAGCATCATATCCGGTCCGATCGAACACATCCGCATCCGCCTACAGACCCAACCCCACGGCGCTCTCGCCCTGTACACCGGACCTTTCGACTGCGCACGCAAGATAATTTCGCAAGCGGGGATTCTCCGCGGGCTATACCGCGGGCAAGTCGCAACCCTTATCCGCGAAGGCCACGGCATCGGAGTCTGGTTCGCGTCCTACGAGGGGTTCTTGGGCCTTGCGGCGCAGAGACAGGGGAAAAGCAGGGAGGAGTTGCCGAGTTGGCAGATTGCCGTGTGTGGGGGGTTGGCGGGGGAGATGTTGTGGTTGTTGAGCCATCCAGTCGATGTGATTAAGAGTAAGATGCAGAGTGATGGGTTTGGAGAGATGCAGAGGTACAAAGGGTTTAGGGAGGCTGTGAGGATGACTTGGAGAGGGGAGGGGGTGGGAGGGTTGTTTTTCGGGATTGGACCCGCGTTGGCGAGGGCGATGCCGGTTTCGGCGGGGACGTTTGCGGTGTGAGTTCTCCTCGCTCGTTCTTCTGGTTTTGTTTATTGCGTTGCTAATATCTGTGGTGCGTAGGGTGGAGGTGGTGAGGAAGGTGTTGGTTTAGGTGGTTGATGGGTTGGGGATGGCTGGGTAGATTGATGGGATTTGATGAACCTATATGATGAACTGGACTTCGTAGACTGCTTTATGAGATCCAGTTTATTCTTCTATATAGCATACTGCTTCTTCTATTTGCTCTTCAGACACTCGGCAATCGAGCGACCCACGTACTCCACATTCTTATCATTGAGTCCAGCAATAGAGACTCGCGAGTTTCCCGCCATGTAGATATGGTATTGCACTGCATGAAACGGAGTTAGTAAGGTATGAAGAGGGTCACTTCTATAGAACGTACCCTTCAGCTCCTGAACGACATCCGGTGCAAGACCCAAGAACCCAAACATTCCCGACTGGCGGATCAAATGATCCCAGTTACCAGGTGCACCTGCACATTTATCAGAAACTGCTCAAATGCATATCAAGATTCAACTCACCATTGTTATTCAAGGAGTCGTACAGAGCCCTCCGCATCGCCCGGATCCGGCCACTCATGGTCTCGAGGTCCTTGTACCAGAGCGCTTTGAGTTGCTGATCCGACAAGATCGTAGCAGCAATCTTGGCTCCATAAGCGGGCGGGTTTGAGACTTCAGACCGCTGTAGCATCTCGAGCACCGACTGTGTATTGGTAGCAGCTTTGTCTGTATGAGCTACGAAGAACAGACAACCCGTGCGCTCTCCTAGCGAACCATTAGCCAAGGAAACAACGTCAACGTCACGAAAGGTAGAACAATCTCACCATACAGCCCCATATTCTTCGCAAACGACAGACATACACCCGCCTCCAAGTCCAAATCATCAACAAAATACCGAATCGCAAAAGCGTCATCATCGATATTGCCTGAATTGAAACCAAGGTATGCTGCATCGAAGAGAGGGAATAGTCTCTTTTCCTTGATGATACGGCCGACTTCCTTCCATTGCTCCTTGCTAGGATCGCAGCCGGTCGGATTATGCGCGCACGCGTGAAGAATAACGACTGAGCCTGGCTCGGCCTGTTTCAGGGCAGAGTAGTAGCTGTCGATATCTAGATTCTTCTGGGCGTCGTCGTAGTATCCGAAGGATTCACAGGTGAACCCGAGGGAGGAGAAGACTTGGTGATGGTTCGACCATGTGGGACTAGGGATGTAGATCTTTGGTAAAGGGGCACGGCAGCTTCGAAGGAGTAGGCCTGCTAGATGAAGAGACCCGGTGCCAGAGAGGCCTTGGCAGGTTGCGAGCTTCGATGATCATGTCAGAGGGTGCGATAGGTAAGGTAAATCTGCAAATTTTTGTGCCTGGGACCTACCCTAGATTGGATCCTCTCGTACAGCCCCGAGCCTAATGCCATCTTGCTTGCCTCCTGGCGAAACGCCTGAAGACCCAAGATCGGCAGATACTCATGATTCAGACCCTGTCCAACGAGCATCTCGCGACTCTTCCGCACCGAAGGCAGAACCCAAGGCTGTCCATTTTCATCACGATAGGTTCCTTGCCCGAGATTCACTTTCTGGGTGAACGTGTCGGCATTGTACTCTGCAGTTAGAGCAAAGATAGCATCGGGAGGAATGTATGGGGCTGTCTCGAAGAAGGAAGGGGGAGTGGTTCCCGTCGGTGTGATTGTGCTGGTTTGAGTTGTCATTATGTCAAATTCCAGATGAACAATTGAGAAATTAGAATAATGCCACAGGTCAAATGTCTGTTTAGTTCTAATGACATGTTATAAAGCTAAATAAATGTTCTTAAGCGCTGCCCGCACAGCAGCTCGGCCTTGTCCTCCGAGATGTCGGCTCTCTCGCCCGAGCACATGTTTCTCGCATTATCCAAGCAAGCTGGGCAATAAAGGATGCGTCAAGATAGCGCGATCCGCTTATCAGGGATAATTATCGCGCTGTGGGTCAGTCTGGATGGTGAGTTTTACTATTAGTTGAGATTGGGAGGATGGCTTCGTGCGGGGAATGAGGGGTTTAACTCTATTCCAGTGAATTGAGGGGAGACAACTTGAACCAACGAAGACTGCACTATAATTGAACATTCCTTGCATTTGGCCGGGCGGAGATTTCTCCGCGAAGATTATTAAAGCATTTTAGTCATTCTTCCTGTTTTGTTCCCATTTGGGGAGGCGCATTGAGGTTATTTATCGAGGTGCTGCTGTGTAATCAAAATGGCGATAGGACAGGTCAATGGACGCTATAATTTAGTGGAATCAAGCGACTACATCAGATGTGCGTCAACATCCCGTGTACTAGATAGAGCCATAACTACTGTTATCGCTCCCAGTCTATATCTCAGCCTAATATAGGAAGTAAAGCACTATGTATAGAAATAACTGCCTGCTGGATGCTGTGCGTTGCCCCACGCGCGATTTCTAGCGCCAAATGACTAGACCACAATACTACTAGTAATATTTCCCCCCAGTATCAAGCAGCCTACTCATCATCAACCTCCTTTGTCTTCCACAACATCCATGCAGCTGCAATCATTCCCTTCAACACTACAGCAGTCCAAAGTGCGCCCGGCAATCCAACCTCACTCCTCGCCCACAAGCCACCCGCGACAATGCCAATCAACATCCCCACCACAGCCCCCAACCGCCTCCACTCATCAGGCGCCTTAAGCACACTGCAAGAGGTCAGTGCCGGCGACGAGAACAAGTCACAATAGATACTAGTAAGCACAACACTCGTCAAACTACTACACTTCAACACGCGACTCGACACAGCCTGACCACTACTCTGGAACGCGACCAACGCCAACGGCACTCCAATCTTCCACGTCAGAGGATCAGTCTTGCCGGTGTGCTGCACCGTGACAATACTCGCAGCGACAGCGACACAAACCAGCTGCAGGGAGAAGGAGAGCGTCAGGGCGGACCGTTGCCGCGGCGTGTGAAACAGGCGGTGTAACACGGCGAAGAAACAGGAGCCGATGCAGAAACTGCCGATCGAGATGAGCGATTTAAGCCACCGTTGACTCTCATCCACCCCGGCCAGCCCTAGTCCAAAGTATACCGTGTTGCCAGTCTGCATGCTCACAAAGGAGCCCCAGATGAACACGGCAGAACTGTCCAGGAGACCCGTGATGACGTAGCAGAAAATGAGGAGAAGGTCTGCTCGGTGCGGGTCGATTTCGGTGCGGAGATGGCGGCGCAGTTGGCTCAGGGGGGAAGGTTTGGAGCCAGGTCCACGGTGCCCCAGAAGAGGATCGTTCTCATGGGCGGGAAATTCCTGGTAGTGCGCGGTTTCGTGCGCCATGGTCGAGAGTGAAAATTGGTGGATGGTCTGTGTGTGTGTGTGGGAAACACCAGAGGGGAAGGGAAGAATTGGGGGGCCTGGGAATGCCCGAGCGCGCAAACTAGGCAGCAAGTAATAATCCAAATGAGTGTCTCAAATAGCGATGTGAATAGCGACATCTAGCAGGACTTAATAGTTCGTCCACGGTTAAGACGGCAGTGGGAGATGAAAGGGGGGGAAAGAGTTGGAGATGAGTGGAGAAAGAAAGAGCGAGACTGTGATCCATCGCGCGTGACGTCGGCGCAGATCCAGTGACGTTGAGTGCCCGGCCCTGTAGGGCTGAATGGTTGGGACCAATGGACACCCCCTTCTCTCCAAACAAGCATTGCTACCAAGCTTTGTTCGGGTTTTTTGACCCCAGACGAGGTTCCACCCTTGCATCTGTTTCTTGCTTTCTGGATTCCACGTCACTGGCTGCCCGGAAGAGTCGGATATGAGAGAATTTTCCATTGATATCAAGGTTGCTCTGACCCACCCCCTCAGCCAAGGAATATAAGAACGGTCGGTTTCCACGGTCGCAAGAAAGAACAGAGATCTGGAAACCAAGCATTCCTAGTAGATTGCAAAGATGCAGCTACCCCTGTCACCACGTCGGCTGTTGCTGAGTTTCGCGACCGTGGCCGCCCTCCTCCATCCCAGTCATGGAGGCCCGGTCCCTAACGAAGCATACCAGCAACTATTGCAGATTCCTGCATCGTCCCCATCCATGTTCTTCCAGGACAAGCCATTCACCCCTGATCATCGCGACCCCTATGACCACAAGGTAGATGCGATCGGTGAAGGCCATGAACCCTTGCCCTGGCGCATGGGAGATGGAGCCACCATCATGGGACCCCGCAACAAGGAGCGTGAGCGCCAGAACCCCGACATGCTCCGTCCCCCGAGCACCGACCATGGCAACATGCCCAACATGCGGTGGAGCTTTGCAGACTCTCACATCCGCATCGAGGTAAGTCATTGGAGTGTCTCTGTATGACAAGCGATAAGGCTAATGCATTGCAGGAGGGCGGCTGGACACGTCAGACTACCGTACGCGAGCTGCCAACGAGCAAGGAACTTGCTGGAGTGAACATGCGCCTGGATGAGGGTGTCATCCGGGAGCTGCACTGGCATCGGGAAGCAGAGTGGGCGTATGTGCTGACCGGGCGTGTACGAGTTACTGGTCTTGACCTGGAGGGAGGCAGCTTCATTGATGACCTCGAGGAGGGTGACCTCTGGTACTTTCCTTCGGGCCATCCGCATTCACTCCAGGGTCTTGGTCCCAATGGCACCGAGTTCTTACTGATCTTTGATGATGGGGGCTTTTCCGAGGAGTCCACATTCTTGTTGACCGACTGGATTGGTATGTCCACCGTGCTTGCTGCTGTACAACCTCCCCAATGAATACTAACAATGCCATATAACAGCACATACACCCAAGTCCGTCCTCGCTGGCAATTTCCGCATGCGCCCGCAAACATTCAAAAACATTCCGCAATCTGAAAAGTACATCTTCCAGGGCTCTGTCCCAGACTCTATCCCCAAAGAGCTCCCCCGCAACTTCAAAGCATCCAAGCAGCGCTTCACGCATAAGATGCTCACACAAAAACCAGAGCATACCTCGGGCGGAGAGGTGCGCATCACTGACTCGTCCAACTTTCCCATCTCCAAGACCGTCGCGGCCGCCCATCTGACCATCCACCCGGGAGCTATCCGGGAGATGCACTGGCATCCCAATGCAGATGAATGGTCCTACTTCAAGCGCGGTCGGGCGCGAGTGACCATCTTCGCTGCCGAAGGCAATGCTCGTACGTTTGACTACGTAGCAGGTGATGTGGGCATTGTTCCTCGCAACATGGGTCATTTCATTGAGAACCTCAGTGATGACGAGGAGGTCGAGGTGTTGGAGATCTTCCGGGCAGACCGGTTCCGCGACTTTTCGTTGTTCCAGTGGATGGGAGAGACGCCGCAACGGATGGTGGCGGAGCATGTGTTCAAGGATGATCCGGATGCTGCCCGGGAGTTCCTTAAGAGCGTGGAGAGTGGTGAGAAAGATCCGATCCGGAGCCCGAGCGACTAAGTGGGGATCTACGCGTGTATTCTGCCACCGTGCATTACAGGGAAAGGAGCAGCCATAGGCTGCTTAAAATTAATGGCCATAGCTTAGTTGCTTTTACCTTAAGATGTAACTAGGAAATAATTCATTTAAGACAACAGGATTTAGCACTAAGAGGCAAAAGTGGACGATTCATATAAGAACTAAAGTATCAAGCACGCCGGGATCAGTAAGTGGATTTGAAATCAACAACGACGACTGTAGCTGGGAGACACGGTTTACCTGTAGCAGCACATTGATTCCCACTCACCTCACCCACTAGCTAGGCAAGACGATCCTATCCTGAAGAGTCCATCAATAATATCCCGTCGACCGTCACTTGGACTAGAATCACGATAGAATCGAAGTGTCTCGCTATAAAGTTCCGGATCAATTTGCGCAAGCTCTCGGGCATCTTCCATAATCACATCGTAAACGCTAGTCTCGTGTAGCTCAAATGGCCCATCACCATTATCGCGCAGATTGGTGTAGATACCATCTTTGGCGCGTCCATCTATATGGTATCGCGCCCAAATCGCATCACCATAGCGCTTTTCAGCAATGGCTGTGCAGTACCGGGATGCCCATGGCTCAACTAGTTGTCTTTTCGTCGTTTTGTTGATGACGTCTGCGATGGGAATATCGAGGAATATCTGTTCAGGTAGGGATGATTCCATAGCCACTTAGCAGCTTTTCAGAATATAGTACTCTTGTGGTGTTTGAAAGGAAGAAGCAAAGAACGAACAAATCTTGGGCCAAGATGACGTTGCGTAGCAGACAGTGCAAGTATGTGCATGGAGGATGGGAACAGGGAGGCATTTATAATTTCACAATAAGACATAAACCCGCTGATTGATTGGTGCCTGATAAGCGCCTCTGCCTAGATTCTCGTGGGCGCTGCACTCCTCAATTTCTACACCTCTGTAAGTAACAATTACTGGTAAAAGGATAAGCTATGTTGCACTTTGAATGTTATTTTCTTCCAGTTCTCACGATCTGTATGAGTGAGGGCAAAATCTATGGGGTAGAATCAGGCACTAACGATGCTTACCAGCACACTGATCCTGAGTGGCCAATACGTCTCCGTCTTCCCCCTTTTTAGCGTATCGATACTACGTAGGTTTAGGTAGCACAAAGGAGATTTTACTAGTATTAAGATATATAGAGGGGGTTTCGCTTCACCTATGGATGTTTATCTACATCCTCAAACTAAGAAATGAGGAGAAGAATAGTTATGCACCTGGCTCATGTCGCAGTATTATCGCTACATTCTTTCATTCTATCAACCTCTGAAGTGGCAACATCTTGGATAATTACAACGTTGTAATTACCAATATAACCTTCAAAAAACTCCCATTGGTGCTCGGTTTGTATTCCTTCGGCTGTCACGTGGTTCAAGGGTCGTTGGCGAGGAACCGGCGTTATTCAGGTCAAAACTTCCTATCCAGGACGTCAGTTCATCTTGATGGTCAAATACTTAGATGGACTTGTGGTTTTTAGAAAAGTCTGAGGAATGACATGGTGATTCTTACTTGCAAACCAGATATCCTTGGACCGAAAAAGCCGAATCACTAGCAACCAGTGGACTTCGAGCTCAAACACAGCTTGCGGTGCCCCGAGTTCTTAGGCGAGTAACCCGAAACATATACGGTTGAACAACAAGCTTTGGTTCGTGGGCAATCATCGTATATAAGTTTTCCAACCGCATGTGCCTTATACCACGTAAGATCGGCCCCACTACCATGAGGCCCGACCCTGAACCAGCAACCACCATAGTAGTCAATTGTACGCGTTGAGCCAAGGTCTGTTTCGTACTGGTTCATGTCCTGAAGCAACTCGTAGCAAGAACTACGTGGGGCTAGATTTGAGCTGCTGCACTTGATAGTGTAGGTCACATCCCGCTTTTCAAGAGCCTTGAGGTCTTCATCTAGAGCACCGATGATAATGTCGACAAGTTCCCGATGTCCGTCGTTCGAGCTAGTGGTGTTGTATCTGGTGGCCACTTGGTTGTAGAGTTCCGGATTGCCGAGCCTGTAGCCCATGGCATCGTCAAGCAGCTCCTTTGTCACAGTAGTGTTGTCTGCCTCGATGATGTTGCCCACAGCTCGACCATCCATATGATACCGCGCCCATACGGCATCACCGTAACGACTTTCACGTACGGCAGACACATATGATTCACCCCACGGGGCTTGAATCCACGAACCTGCCGTTCCGTTTGCAACTTGATCAACATCAAGGTCCAGAAATAGCTCATCGGTCTCGCCACTGAATGCTCTCAGCACCATTGCGAATAGGCTGAGCCATTTCAAGATAGATTGGGGGTTGCCAGCCATGTTGAAGGTGAATTAGATAGGAAGTCTGATGAGCTGGAGATGTTTCTACCCTCTGGCTTATTTATACCTCTTGTGATCCCATGGTCACTGGTACGATGGAAGAAAGATTAGTTGAGCTAGTCGCTCATTTGCTATCATGTCTTCGGACAGAAGGAAGACTGTGGAGGCCTAATATTTACAGTAGGTACTTCTACACGTGAGAAAGAAATTTCATCCAGTTGGCTGGTCCCTTAACAACCACTGCTTCTTCGCACACAGTTTGTTTCCTTATCAGGTCCATACGTGACTCCCCTTGGATGACTGGCTAGACTTGAATGTGAGATATGTAAGCTATATGCTCATGTCTGGCGTATGTGGAGTATCAAATCTGTATTCGCAGGTATACCATTCTTGTATGGGTTATTTTGTACTGGAACTAGCCTCCATTTCATCCATATATAGCTCATCTTAGCTCTCCCATAATCTCACTCAACTTCTTCCCAAATGGCCGCTGGCCCATTTTTATTGGCAATATTGCGGACTGCTTCTATTAGCTCGCTGATCATGTACTTACAAGGATACTAGACAAACAATTCGGCTGCCTAGCAGTTACTTGCTACTTACGGTTACCAATCTCCAGGAAATCTCGGGGGCGGTCGGAGTTCATACGTATTGGTCAATTTCTGATGTTCGGTCCCTTTACCTCTAACTTCTAGTTGTGCTAGACACTGTATCCAGCTGTTGAAGTGATTAGAACGCCCAGGGGATCTCCTAACTAGTATTCATCTTGGTAACCTACCGTACCAGCTGGAAAGTTCAAATTCATCATGAACTCTTCCCGATGTATCATGCAAGCAAGAGACTAGTCGCCTTGCCATGATTTCTAAGAAAAATACCCCACGACTAGCTTGCCACCACGGCAAGGATCAAGGCTTGTTTGTGTGCCTGATGTTCCTGACGAGGCTGTCCAATGGTAGGGCTATTGATAAGGTTAGGTTTATGGCAAGAAAGAAAGACCGTGCCTCATTTGACAATCTTGAAGATAAGCATTCTTCGGGGCAATGCCTCTGGCGCTGTTATATCCAAGTACGGTAACCACCTCGACACTAAGGTATCAAAATCACCTTCTAAATATAGGTAAAGGGCGTCTCTCTGCGATAGGAGGCTCACTATGCATTTATGATGTCAAATCAGGTGGGTGTAGCTTTGCTCCCGTCAGATTTTACATGGTGATTTTGCCGGGAAAGGAAAATCTTCCCGCTGGTCCGCACGTCGTGATGCTTATGCTCTCGAATTAGCGCTTACATCAGACGGGGTTGCAGCATAGACAGCTAGATAGCAAGTCTAGGCTTTCAAACTTCTGATCAGAGCAGCCTAGAAGATCATCCTTTGCCTCTTTGAGACTACAGGGCACCCATTATACTCTCTTAGCCAAGTAACCGTAATTACGGCTGAAAAAAAAGTGCATCTCGGGATTGAATACTCTTCTCGTGTAGCTTCTATAGCATTAGTATTGGATATACAAGTGACTTATGATCAGAAATAGCGAACATATTGAAAGTATTACAGGGCCGGTTTAGAACACAAAACATAATGTCGTCCGAGACATGATGGAAGATACATAATAGATGAGAATTGAGAAGCAGGAATACAACGATAGATGATAAAAGATTGGAAATCTATGGGATCGGAAAAGAGACCAGTGGGGGCTGATAATGTGCGATTCCATCAGAGCTGAAGAAAAGATGAAGAAACAGCATTAAGAGTGCAGAATATATAGCCATCGCAACTAGCTAAAAACCCTTCTCATGCATAGGGAAGCCCGGAGGGGGCCATCTTAGAGGCACGCGCATGAAATGGAACATCAGGGGCCTTTAGCGACAAGCGATGATAGAAGTCACAGCGCACAGGGGAGGCCTTCCTCAGGCAGAAACAAATATTCGGGTATCGCGTTCCAGGGTGTCTTCTCGTCCATGGAATTGTTGTTGACTAACACAGCCCCTTCAGCCACAAATGCCATCTCCGTCCTAAAATGTAGCAGCCTAGTACAACAATAAGCAAGCAAATACGATTACGACATCCCGAAGGCTTAGCCACTCAAAATAGCGGGACCCGGCGGGTCGCAGATGCCCCGCCATTGTTGATGCCTTTATTTTTGAGTCTTCCGTCGCCCTACGTCAGTCATCACCATTTTCAGATTTAACGGATCCTGTTTCCTCTCTGCCTGTCAAGAATTACACATAAATATACCTGTCTCCCTCTATAGATCAACCCTTCCTCAATATACCCTCCTATCACCGCCTACCCTCCAGACACTCTCACAATGTCACAACCGCCCACCAATACAAACAGCCACAAGATGTGGGACAAAACCAAGACCTACGGAAAAATGGGCTTTGACAAAGCCTGGGGCGCCCTCGACAAGCTAGGCGCCCCCGTCAACCGACTCAGCAACAAGCTGGGTTCCGAAGCCTTCTGGCCCATGACCCTCGATAAAGAAAGCGAAAAGGTCGCCCGTATTCTCCGCAGTTTCTGCAAAGATGGAGTCTACGTGGACGAGCCAGCCGCGGACACTGCGCCTCCTGTCAACAGCAACGAAGCATCATCATCAAAACAGAAGATTGACAAGCCGCGCGGAAAGCAAAAGGTATTGAAGAAGATCCCCTCCGAGGTGATCCGGCAGGCAAAGGGGATAGTCGTGTTCACAGCCATGAGAACGGGCTTGTGGTTCAGTGGAGCTGGTGGCAGTGGCATTCTGATTGCCCGGGTACCGGAGACCGGGGAGTGGAGTGCACCTTCCGGGATTTTGTTGCATACGGCTGGTTTGGGATTCCTTGTTGGTGCGGATATCTACGACTGCGTGATGGTTATCAATACCTACGAGGCGCTGGAAGCATTCACCAAGGTCAGAGTGACCCTGGGTAGCGAGATCACTGTTGCTGCGGGCCCGATTGGCATGGGCGGGGTGTTGGAGTCGGAGGTGCACAAGCGCCGGGCGCCGATTTGGTGTTATGTCAAGAGTCGGGGTTTCTATGCGGGGGTGCAGATCGATGGAACAATTGTTATTGAACGAAATGATGAGAATGAGAGGTTCTACGGTCGGAAGATTCCTGTCAAAGAGATTTTGACGGGACATGTGCGCACGAATAACCCGTCCGTGCGAATGTTGACGCACACCATTCGTTCCGCGCAGGGTGATGCGAACTTTGACCAGGCTCCTGCTGGAGTGCAAGCGCCCATGGGACCGAGTCCTAGTGATTATGCACCTGAGGATCTTCAGCATACTCAAATGGTTCATACTGGGGCGGCTCCAGGCGAGGGAGCACCTTATCAGCCAGGTCCTCAATATCCGCCTAGGCCCGAATCCGGTCCTGGTCCGCAGTATCAACCCGGGCCTCAGTACCAGTCTGGGCCTCAATATCAGCAAGGACCTCAACAAGTGCCTGGTCCGCAATATCAACCTGGTCCCCAGTACCAGTCTGGGCCTCAGTATCAGCAGGGACCTCAACAAGGCCCTGGTCCGCAATACCAGTATCAGGGTGATCCGCAGTACCAACATGGTGCCCCAAATCAGTCGGGTCCTCAATATCAGCAACCAGGTGCGCCATACCAGCCTGGTCCCCAGTATCACCCGGGTCATCAGTAGCTATTCGGCTGCTATTGACAAGATGCGCCCGCAACATATTCTTATATCTGCTTCTTCCAGCGAGACAACCTGATTAGATGCCCTATTGTTAGAACACCCAAGATAACGAATCACGATTGACAAAGACGTTCCATATCATAGAACTCTCCTCGTGCAAATCCCGTCTATCCTCAAATTGTAAACTCCATGCACATAAGATACTACGCAATTCCCACGCCGCCGTTAGTTACTCTATAGATACAGCCTGGTGAAGATCAAAGTGGCAGTGTCCAGCTAACCCCGGTATCTCCGACGACCTACCATTATATCTACAGCAAACAACGCCCATTCAAAACACTAAGCACCGTAACATCGGACTAAGTCCTTCCCCTAAGCTCCTTAGTGTAACTGCATTATAATGAAAATAATCCTCACCGGCAGCACCGGCTTCATCGGCCACGAAATCCTCACTCAATGTCTCCGAAACCCGCACATCACATCCGTCATTGCGCTGTCCCGGCGCCCGCTCCCTACCAATAACCCCAAGCTCACGGTCAGACTCGTGGATGATTTCCTCACATACCCTGAGAGTTTATTGCAGGAGTTGAGGGGAGCGGCGGCGTGTATTTGGTATACCTTTCCAACCCATCTCCCGTACAGATATAACAAGTATATCCGTGACGCTAATGAAAGGATACCGAAACAGGGTGATCGGGGTGAACAGAACCCGAGATACCGAAACAGCTCGGAGAATCAACGTTGAGTATACGATGGCTGCGATGAGGGCGTTCGGCACACATTTGCCTTCGTGGGTTGAGGGAGGGGGGAAGAAGTTCCGCTTCGTTTATCTGAGCGGAGGGATGTCGGAGAGGGATCAGAGTAGGTCGTTGTGGATGGCGGGGGAGACGAGGAAGATTAGGGTAAACACCCCCCTCTGAAGTTGTTATTTCTCTTTTACTGGTACATGTGTTATGGAGGTCTATGGTCTACGTTAAGTTGAAGGCTATGATCCTAACGGCGGCTATGAACAGGGACAAGTTGAGAACGCATTGAACGACTACGAGAAGACCAACAATAATGTAGAGGTGTATATTGCTCGACCGGGGATGGTTCTTGCACGGGGAATGAGTTTGAGAACAGTGGTTTTTGGAATGGGCCCGTCGATTTGGGTGGATGATTTAGCAAAGGTGTTGGTGGATGTTGCTGTGAAAGGGGACGGAGATGGGGAGAGGGTATTGGAGAATGAGAGGATGTTGCGGTGGGAGCATTAATTTTATTACTGTGCTGATTGTGGGATCTAGTAATCGGATATTCTGAGAACAAATTCGATTTGTGCATTTATTCGTTATATCGCTAATGAGAATTTGCGATCGCATGAGATTCCTATCTATACTGGTAGATGCGGACGGGACGGGGTGGTTCCTAGCAAGCATTGATGTTAGCTGCTGCAGTTGACAACATGACGTGTGACAAAATTTAAATGGTAGAAGCCTGTCAGAGACCCGTCTTGAATAGGTACAATTCTTTTTCACCACAGAGAAAAAAGTGAACAATATTTAAGTAAGGGATGTCGGACATCATAGGACTGTAATGGTGTTGATCATGGAGAGGGTGGGAGGCGAATAGTGACATACCGACCAGTCGGGTGGCTTCCCTAGTTTCTGACTGAAAACAGGGAAGCAGAAACCTTTCTAAGGAAGTTTGAATTTCCTTGAGCAAAATGCTTCTTTATATATGAAGGTGGGATGGTTTGCCGTGCGCTGGTCATGACAACGATGGCTACTCATGTAGGGAGTATAAATCCATTCCAGAGTGGCCAGCTGTGATAGTTGCAAGAGCTGCATTCTATTTTACGGTCGCATTTAAATAGTTACCCCTTGTGTTGTGACTAGGGTCGTGGCCCTATCCCCTGTTTTCATTGTTTTCAGTGTTTTCAACCTTGTTTTCAATGTTTTCAGTAATGTTTTCATTGTTTTCAACTCGCGTGGACCATGTGGTTGCAGGCACCATGATGGCGGTTTGCACTGTGATCAAGACTACGGAGACGGCCGGAAAATGGTTCCTGTGCTCTTCTGATTTGCCAATCTAGTCTGCCAGTTGACAGCTGATAACAGCTTGGAAAGTGCATTGTGAATACTAATCAATGTCTATCTTCATTATATGAGTTTAACCTGAAATCTGTTCACATGATTCATGATTCCGTGTTGAATAGTTCATTATCCGACCTCCACCTCCACTGCCATATCCGCAAGACAACTCCTCCCGAGCTTGCACTGGCACACGCAGTCTCAGGCATTCTAGGCATTCTCCTTATATATCTGCCGTATTAAATCCGCCAACTTCTGTACCTCGTGTGTGTTCCACGGCATGGCGTGATGGTAATCAACCTCGTACAATTTCTTGGTTTTCGAGTCATAATATTTCGTGTACTGGAGTCGACTGAGCGGCAGTACCCAGTCCTTGAGCCCGTGGACATGCAATGTAGGCAGCGAGACTGTATTATCTTCAAAGTTGAAGTCTGCGACACGTCAGTAACTTCATGACAAGAGCTGCCAACACTGGACAGGAAGGGGGCAGCACTCCTCTCCACGTGTGATTGTCACTCCGTGAAGAAACGCTAACAGATAGGGAAAACAAGCAAACATACGTTTCGAAACCTCCGATTCCAGCGGTGCCCCCGCCCCCATGCAGCAAACTCCGAATTTCAACTGGATTCCCTCATTCGCATCCCAGCCCGAGGCAGCTCTGCGTTGCTGATCCAACAACAATCCCCCCACCACTCTGGTCCCTTGACTGAATCCCATGGCACCGACCCACGGACCGGCTGGCTCATCTTGCTCTCGGTCATTTTGCACCATCAGCTTCAAGACCCTCTCGATCCCGTCCCGGCCAACATCGTCATATCCACTTCCATCAATGAGTTCCTTGCCGTCGCTGTCATTCGTCACCCATGATTTGTATGGCTCGTAGCCGCGGAAGGCGGGGAGGACGCCGGGACCGGCGTCGCGGGTGTAGGGACCATCGAAAAAGACGAATTCGAAGTCATTTTCGAGCAAGCTGGCGAGGCGCGAGCATTGGATTCGGTAGATTTCGCCTTTGGAGCCACCGCCGTGGAAGCAGGCGATGCGGGGGCGGGGTTCGGGAGGGAACATTCTGAAGGTGGTGTAGAGTGAGGAGTATTAGGGTTGGAGATTGGGATGATATAGTCCGTCTCCTAATCAGTATAAGCACGAAAGAATCGAACCTGCGATGCTAGAGTTTGCGAAACGAGATGAGTTTGTTGCGACTTGCGAGACGGTGAGAGATCGCGAGGGGCATGAATGGTCATGTGAGATTTTAGCTGCAAGTTTCGGGGGCCAAACATTCTCATTGGCGCCGGAGTATCTTTTCTGGACAAAATCCTGCATGGCGATCGGATCCTTCTGTCAGTTGAAGATATGTCTTTCCTGGTATATAACTACAAAGTAGTATTGTTACGGACTATGGAGTACTACACAGTGGTATATAATCTACAATGGGTAATGATGGTCCCACTGCGAACCTGATATCCAATAAACCACTCCAAAAGCCCTTTCCCCGGACATTCCCCGACACCCCACGAACCCCCGCACCAGCAACAAAACCACTGAGACCAAGGCAAAAGCAGCAGCTCCTGTTCACAACATGTCCCAAACTATCCCTCAACTTCATAAAATCCCCCTTTCACATCCACTTCCATGTCCAAACGCATCATCATCACCGGTGGCTCCGGCAAAGCCGGCCAATTCATCATTGCCCACCTCCACGCCCAGAACTACGACATCCTCAACCTGGACCTGAACCCACTTCCCGCTCCCCTCAGCAACAAAGTCCATACCCTCAAAGTTGATCTCACCGACAACGGTCAAGTTCATGGCGCCCTGCACTCCCACTTCCATCTCACCGAACCCTTCCGTGAACCCCTCCGCCAGGTCCCCGATGCCGTCATTCATCTAGCCGGGTATGCACGGAACATGATCGTCCCTGATAACGAGACCTTCCGAGGCAATACTCTCTCCACCTATAATGTGATCGAAGCTGCATGTCGGATGGGCGTACCGAAGATCATAACTGCCAGTTCACTCTGCGCGTACGGGGTTGCTTTTGCAGAAGGGGATGTCGATTATCCTTCGTTCCCGGTTGACGAGGAGGTAGATACCAATCCGATGGACGTGTATGGTCTAACTAAAGTGATTGGGGAACGTACGGCGCGGAGCTTTGCTCGCCGATTCGGGACTGATATCTATGTCATGCGACTGGGCGCTATCGTCGCGCCGGAGGAATTGCGGAGTCGGTTTGAGGAGTACATGCATTTGCCGGAGCAGTATAAGGTGCATGGATGGGCGTATACGGATGCCAGAGATATCGGGCTGATGTTTGAGCGGGGCATTGTTACGGATGGATTGGGGTTCCAGGTCTTTAATGCGGTGAATGATGAGATTACGAATACTTCAAGCACGACGGAGTTTTTGCAGAAGATGTGCCCCAATGTTCCGGTTACGAGGGAGATGGGGGAGAAGGAAGCCCCAGTGACTAATAGAAAGATGAAGGAGTTGTTGGGCTTTGAGCAGAAACACCGGTGGCAGGATGATTGTCTTCAGAAGTGAAGGATAAATGGTGGTGCAGAATAAGGTATCCAATGGGAAAGTAGGTCGTAGACATAGATAGCTGCCTCATTCATAACCATAGCAATGGCTTAACGCGGTCCTCCGGGTGGACAACATGTCATAGCATATGTCTGCATAATTAAGACCTTACCTCGAGCCCTTCATTTCAGGTGCATAAATGTGACCCTGTCAGGCCCACTGGCAGCTCGGAGTTAACAATCAGGCCACGCAGCAAATAATGTGTGTCTAGCTGAGACAGTCCGAAGCACTTTGGTTGAGGGTAAACCCAATGCGGAAATCACTAAAATAGCCGCGGCTCAAGGCCCTCTTTTTGGCGGTTGAACCCGATATTGCCGAAAAGAGATGATGGCAGTGCATCGATGCCACCGAGATTTTCATGAGCTAAAAAACTATGCCGGGAAATTGAACGTACTGATGTCGAGTATAATTCCCTATCTTTCTCTATTTATTCCCCCATTATCATGATATGGCATATATTGAGTGGATTCCCGATTGGGTTACCGGAGAGCCCGTGGCCGGTGCCGATGACTAAGCGGCAGGACCGAGCCGGATGTCTCGGTGGCGCGTCGAACCTCAAAGGGATTGTCATGTTCTGCTGTGCGGATATGCGCGCAGCCCCATTGACATCCCATTGCTCGGTTTAGCTCTTGCTTAGGCGGTCCATAGCACCTGCTGTCATTTTTGCTGATTGGTCCCCACTCGCGCTTCTGTCCCTGGGATCCCTTGGATCGACATTGTAACATGCAGGCGCGCGTGCCGGAGTCCAGCCCTACCCCCGAGGGGGATCGGTATGTGCCCCTTCGGCGTACTGCTCGGGCCTGTGACTCGTGCCATCGGAGAAAAGTAGGTTGCGCTTCGGGTGTCCACTTTCAGTCCAATTTGCAATAGTGTATTAACCTTTCCCGCGGGTCAGATCCAATGTGATACATCTGTCCCCTGTAATTGGTGCCGCCACCATAACCTGGATTGTACCTTTGATAGGCCTGTTGGCGGAAACAAACGAAAGAAAACCACTCAACCCGCCAATCCAAGGTGAGATTGTATGTTTTGTTCCATGTGGCATGCCACTAACTCCTCAGACCCTTGAGACGACCTCACCAGGAAGACCTGGAGGACAGGGTGCGGAAGCTTGAAGAGCTTCTCACACGGTCGATCTCGACCACACAGCACCCAAGGAATTGCCTTTCCTTACTGGAGAAAGGCCATCTAGATACTGAACAGTCTCCGAGCTTGGCTGGGTCGTCGGAGCTGCCTATTCAGACGGATAATCCGGCTCCTAGTAGTGGCCTACTGTTCGGGAAGATCCACTTTGCCGGTCACTATGTGGGTGAGATTCGGTCATATAGTGGTATCCCTTGCTTCTCACAATCGGGGCACGAGTGGGTGCAGTCCTGTACTGGAGAGCCTGGCACATTCGAGGATGTCTGGTCGCACAAGTACCCAAACCAGGTCCCTCACCTGACGACTCCCCACCCGCAGAATGGTTACAACCACTCTGTCACACCGGACCTTCCAGACCGGTCGTTGGTGGAACAGTACGTGAGCCACTTCTTCACTTCTGGTGAACGTATGGTCTTTCCGGTGGTGGATGAGGTTCTCTTCCGGGATACCGTGGAGCTCGCGTATCGACCATATCAAGGGCCGCCGCCTGTGGAATATGCCCGGGCTCGAGCGTGTATCTTCGCATTCCTTTCATTCATTGCCGAGCTGGATCCGTCCCCAAGTCTTCCCCCGGTAGATCCTCCAGTCTACGCTGCCAAGGCACAAAGCCTCCTCCCGTATATTCTGCACGATGTCAGTGTACCTACGTTACAAACCATGGTTATGCAGGTGAGGACTGACCCTACCCACTCACGGCCAAGCACCGATCTCATTGATTGCGACTCCAGGCTATATACCGAACATTCACAGGAGAACTACAATTAGCCAATCAATTTCATTCCATGGCATGTCGGGTCATGTTCATGCTTGGCGGAGAGACAGGCGAGACGGTAGACGCGTTCCGAGAGTCATCAAAAGACCCCCAAGACCGGAAATGGCGATCTCAACGAATGCTCCGTCGCTTATTCTGGCTCTGTTATGGCTTCGACAAGGAAATATGTTTCCGGTCCGGTCAACCGCCAGTTATCCACGATGAATACTGCGATCTTACCCTTCCACCGAACTATACCGAAATCCAATACCCCAGCACGGAGGGCAATCCTATCCGCTACGACGACATGACCATACCCATCTTCCCCGGAGATTTACGACTTACGATGCTCAAGTCTAAAACCTACCGGACTCTCTACTCTGCTAAAGCGCTGCGCAAGTCCGACGCCCAACTGCTACAAGATATCCGCGAGCTTGACGACGAACTCGAGCAATGGCGCCTAAACGTACCACCCGGGCACCGCCCAACCCTCGGGACTTTCCAGGAACAGCACCCGATACCAGTATACCGCATGCAACCAATTGTCATTCGACTGGAATATCATTATATGATGTGCACCATTCATCGCGCCAGTGGACGATGTGAAGCCTGGGGTCAGCAATGGAGAAGTTGCAAGACTGGAATGATGGAGGGAGTGAATTCAAGCATGCTCTTAGCCGTAGAGGCTAGTCGGTCTTCGCTACATTTTCTTCGAACGGTCATCAGTTCAGTGCGTCCTGAGGCCTTTTGGTGCGTTCTCGCGTGGTCTATCTTGCCCCGATCTAATCGTACTAATATGGCACCTAGGATGATCATCTTCTATCCCATGTCCGCCATCCTCACCATATTTTGCAGCATTTTAGCGAACCCACTTGATCCATATGTGGAAGAAGATCTGCATCTACTGACGGTGGTCCCAGACCTCGTCAGGGATGTGCGTCGGCGACGTACTTCGGATGTAGAGATTGCACATATGCAAACAGTTACGAATTTCGTGGCCGAGTTGATCCGACTAGGCCACTGCGCTATTGAAAAGGCTCGTCGGAGTCAGAGGCAGCTCACCCAATCGTGACTTACCTCTTGTCTGCCCCTTGAAAGCTTTGCAGTTTTATCTTTCCTGTTGATATTGCTTACTGGAGTCATTGCTCAAGATACCCATGTATTACGACTTGTTGAAGTCACCGCCATATAGTATGGCGCATATGCGCGAGTGTATATTGAGTTAGGTTTGGATATTGGGTTGCAATGTTTATGCTAGATTTGTACATACAATTACAATTAGACATAAATCAATGCTGTGATTTTGCCTTTTGGCCCTGTGAACTGGTTGGTGTCGGGGACTCGCTCGCTGGACCCCAAGTTAGGATAGATATCCTTAGCCACCTATAGCGCTCCGACATGTTTCAAACGAAAGGAAAAAGGACACTGAGGGTACTGTGACAGAACATTAGACCCTCTGAGTCACCGTTGGGTGCCTACATAGTGCTACTGACCTCAAGCCATTCGTCTCTTTCCAATTCCTCATTCTTTGCCCTCGCTGCCCGCTTTGTCAGCTTCACCGACACTTGGCCGAGGGATACCCACACTTGGACCCTCAGCCTTGCTGAACAGCGCACCCGGATCAGCATTCGCGAGCTAATTATATGTGCCCACTGCCTCGTACATTGGGTGGGAATGGGGACTTGCACGTGTCGTTGTCATTGTTCATGGAGACCACATTTCATCGTAAGGCCGCATTTCTACCCAACCATTATGGAACGCGAATATTGCTACCAGGCAGGCCAACCCTTCTCCTGTCGATCTACGCCTCTTTGTAGGTTATAATGTCCGATTCAGTACGTGCGACCGGGGTTTTGGGGTGATTTTAGCACTATAATCCTATAACTCAGGGACAACTAGTCACGTGCCTATAATACCCCTGTTAATGCTGTAGTCAAGGGGAGGCTGTCCATACTTTGCCTCACGTAACAAACTATCCAGATGCATTCGTATTCTTTAAAATTTCGTTCAACATTCTCACCACGTACAGAAATTTCCTGGATGACAAGATGAATGGGGCACTAAGCATCACAATGTGTTCAAATCAATTGGTCGCCTCGTTCCAAGATCGCTCACCAATGCCCACTATACAACACACTGCAAGCTGATTCACCAGCTAATGGAAGTTGGACAACGTCGCCCTTCTCGAGCCTCGACTCTCTTGGGTATCTTCATACAACGACCAATGGACAGTGATGCTAACTTCCTATCCTTTTCAAATACTTATATAAGTCCCCGTCCCGTCTGGTCTTATCCCAGATAGCACTTAGCGATCAAACAACACCTTCAACTACTACCAGACAACCCAAGATCAATCTCCTTACAACCCACCAAATTGTGAGTACCACCCATACCCCCTCCAACAAACACACACACCCAACTAACAACAACACCCAAAGCAACCCACATCCCCAACCAAAATGGCAATCTGGCTCCAAGGCCCCGGCTCCGGCGCCATCGCCGACCCGGCCCTCAAAATCCGTCCGGACAGAGGCGGCGCCATCGTGCAGCCATCCAGACCCGATGCAAAGCAGGGCGCCGTGCACTTCATCCTCCCCGCCCCACCACGCGAGAACCCCAACATAACCTCCGTCGCCGTTGACTTCGAGACCGATAAGGCATACGTCGACGCCGTGGCTATTCGTTTCGCCAACATGGAGGCATTCCGCGAACGGTTCCCCGGTCCCAAGACTTCCTCGTTTGCCGTCAAAGTGCCTCCGGGGGAGGCGGAGTATAATGGTCGTGGAGTTGTTGTTACTGTTTATGTGAAGTTTAGGGAGTTCAGGGCTGTCGTTGATTTTGATCAGGTGAGGATTGCGGTTGAGTAGGTGCGCTTGTGTTCTTGGGATTAGGTTTTCAGTTCTTGGTTTCGTTCTTGTGTATTATGTATGGTTTATTGGTTTGAAGGGTGTCGCTCCCTGTCAGGACAGGGAGTGATGTTTGGATTATTGCTTTGTTTCTGTATTTTGTGTTAACCTACCTGCTGTGGAGATTTCGACTTATGTCTGACTCAATGGATGTGCTGTGCATTTCATATGGTTGAAGAGACAATATTAAATTAACCTCAGATACTGTCTGGAGGCTTTCTTTAGAACAATGTTCGCAATAGACATAGTGCGGAAGCCTATCTTCTATCGATCCCAACATGCTATCTCATAAAGATGTGAAGCCACCCCAACCATAAAGCACGATACAAAAGAAAAGTCCCCTGAAACACCTAGTACTCCAAACCAAGCCATAACAATAACTTCATAACATCATACCTCATAAGCCCTCCTTCTTGTCCTACCCCAACTACCGCATAGCCATACTAGCAATAACCACCGAACTCATATGACTGCCCGTAGATATATACCCTCCCCTCCCCATATTCATCCCTACCATACCCACCCCCAACTGCCCCATATTCATCTTCTCCTCACCAGCCATCCTCGGCTCCAACGCCAAACTCCTCTCATACATGCCCTCGACATCACCTCCGGCAGCCTGCACATTCCTTACTATAAACTCCTGTATCTCAGGCACAGGAAGCAAACTGTACCCGACAGCCTGACAGCTCTCGATCTCGCGCAGGATGTCAGCGACTTTGATCCGCTTGCTGAAGTTTATCATCACGTTCGGGGGCTGGGTGTGACTTGGGATGCCGTCTTCGATGAAGGTGAGGTCGGTTAGGTAGGTTCCTTTATTAAGATTAAGTGTTAGTATGGTAAGATTTGGTTGGAAAAGAGGCAGGGAAGTTAGGCTGCATACCGAGGAAGGGGATGCGTGGTAGGCCTGCTGCACGAAGCTTTTCTCGGTACTTGATGAAGTTCTTGTCGCTGGACATGAGGTTCTGCATGTCTTCGAGCAGTTTGCGCGTCTTGGGGCTCACTTGCGTCCAGGTGCGGTGGAGACGGTAGATCGGGCTTGTGGCCAGGCCGGAGATTAGGGACATCATGGTTGCGTAGTTGTTGAGGGAGCGGCAGTTCTATTGATAGCATTGTGTGTTAGCATGTGGGCTGAGAGTGTTCGAGTAAGGGGAGGGCATACGTCGGCAATATTGACAAACTGCTTGATCATAGAGACACGCTTCTTCATCTCATCGTGGGCCAGGATCATCTCCCCGACCCAGTTGGCGAGTTGGTTGGAATGTAGAATCGTGGCGTTGACGCCGGTAGTGCGTTCGATAGAACTGGTGCTGCTGGTTGTGCTGATGCTGGTGCGGCGTGAGGGAGGAATAGATGGTGGTCTATCGGTATCTTTCTTCTGCCATGACTTGTTGAGACACTCGGTAGGTTTGATCCGAGCGAAGAGACGTGATTCGATGATGGTAAGTTGGCGGGCGATCTCCATCGGGTCGAGGTCGAGGAACTTGAGCTTCTTCATGTTCCTCGGGGTGAGTGGTTTCGGCACCGTGCTGTTCGGAGGAGTCATGTAACGTTTGAGGATGTCTTGACCCTTCAGACGGTGCTCGATAATGGTGATGAGTTGCGAGGCTGTGGGAACGTTGGCGAGAGGTTGAACGTGGGCGTGGATGTGTCGGAGGAAGTCCATTGTTGATTCAGTTGGTGGTTCCATCCAGTACCGCTCCAGCCAGGTCTTGAGTATGTTGATGACGCGGAAGCGTACCGTCTTCTGCTTCTGTTCGGTCCATCGTGAGAGGTCAGAGTCGCTGAGGCCTGGAGGTGGGGGCATGTTCAGTCGTTGGAGGAGAATCTCAAAGAGTTCCCGGCCGCAGACGAAGGTCGGGTAGGTCATGAGGAAGGTCTCGTTGAACGAGACATCTAGCCGATCATGGCGTGTCAGTTGCTCGACCAGCCCGCAGATGGAGGCGTGTTTGATGGTTTGGCGTTGGTCGTCCTCGTAAACAACCTCATCCTCGTAGTCGAGGCTCAAGAACGGGGCCGCATTCGTGTCGATCGGCATCGTCGACCATTTCCTGGCGTGCTGGGAGCTGGAAGACATTGTCGTGGGCGTATTGTTTCGTGCATAGTCGAGGTCGGATAGAGACGCTGCACTGGCCAGTCGACGTGCTTGGGGCAAGAGGGGGTTTATGTCCGGGGTGACACCGGCAGCCTGGTGCAAGTAGACGATAGTGGACAATAGTCCGCACGCGAGTAAGAGGGAAGCGAGTATAGCGCTGGAACCACGGGTCTGGAACCCCACCAGCCCACATAGAATGGACGTTGTGCGTCACTTCCCGGATGTCTTGAGCGAGGTAGGGCCAGGGGCGCGCAAGTTCCGACATCGCCCAGCATTTATCAATCTTATCACCGACGCGGATCGGCCTCATCATCTCCACATTGAGTAAGGCAGGGCCATCGCACGGCTCCACCTGAGCCATTTTCTGCGTGTTAGCGCGTTCATAGTCTGCTCACCGTGCGTGTCTCGGGTGGGTTCGGCGGTCATGGTAGCCTATGATTAGGCTGGTGCGCTTGTCGTCGGCTGGTTCTCTTCTTTTGATGGCTGCTGCCAAGATGGAATGGCTTCTGGGACGCTTGTGATGGGCAGCAAAGTGATCCCACCCGGGTCTCGGAGGGTTTTTCCTTAACGAGAGGTGTTCGGAGTTTGATCTATCATCTTCTACCGTTACGTTATTGCGGAGCTATTCTACTCCGGTGAAAAAAACCAGAGTAGTGACCCGACCATTATGAAGCAATGACTATTATGAAAGCCATGGCCATCATGGAAGCAATGACTACTATGGAAGCGATAACTACTATGGAAGGAATGTCAATCATAGAAGGAATCACTATCATGGAAGCAATGACTATTAAGAAAGCAATGATTATTATGGAAGAATGATTATAATGGTATCTTGTATCCAACTCTACAAAACCTCTATACACACATCCTCAGATCACCTGGCCCTTGTTTTGCTGTGGCTTGTTCAGCCTGAAGTTCTTCCATATGGCGACGCAAGGAATCCCCAGCGCCATCGCTACCACAGCTGCAATACACGCATACTTCATGTATACGCCGTAAGCCGCATTGATAGCATCACGAATAACGGAACCAACGGGATACTCGAGCTGCGTGAGGTACCCGCCCACATAGATCTCCATGGCTTTGTCCTTGCTGCCCTCGGGTAACGCATCCCTCAGTGCACCAGGGAAGGTGTTGGTGTAGATGGCAGCGGCAACTGCGTAGCCTACTGCACCGCCCAGACTCGAGAAGAGACCAATCAGGGAAAGCATCATGGGAACACCCTCACGATCAGAGGCAGCCATGACAGCCATGTCTTCACCAATAACCAGGGTGCCACCTCCAAAGGCAATGAATATCTGACACATCACAATATACCCGATGCCTCCACCGGCCGATCGAAAGTGGATCATTAACCCTGCTCCTAGTAGGACCAGGGGCAGTCCAAAACCTAAACAGGTATACTTGAACTGCCGGGTGACATAGACCGTTATGCCGAACACAGCAGACCAGAAACATGAACCAACGTTGTAGATCTGCCCGACGTAGCCGGCCATGCCGATGCTCAGCCCGTAAACAACCATGCAGAAGTTGTAGAAGTAAAGCTCCCATGTGTAGTAACTGAAGAAGAGACAGAATGCAAGACCGCAAGCCCCTATTACCGTGGGCTGCTTGAAAACTCGCCACTTGATGAAGTGATTGCGCGCCCCGAATCGCTCCCAGAGACCAAACAAGACGAACAGCACGAATCCAATGACGATCATGGAGATAAAAGCGGCACTCTTATACTCGGTGCGTCCGTAGGATGCGAGACTGAATGGGAGGAGGAGGAGGAGGAAGGCAGCGGTCAAGAGAAATGCACCAATCACTGCAGGAGAGTCAGAGAATGTCAATTAAAACAAAAGGATTGTGCTTACCGTCGAAATCATGGAAGTAGTGGACTACTGATTCCCAGAAAGTCCGGCCACTTGGCTCCCGACCGTAGATATACATACTCTCCGCCTTTCGTTGGTAGAATTTGAATATCACAGCCAGAGGAATGAATACAAATGGCATCACAATAGCAAAGATACCGTATCCCCAGCGCCATGATGCTCTCCCAATGATTGACTCGGCAGCCAAGGGGCCAGTGAACGCAGTGCAAATAAAAGGAGTACTAGCAAAACCAAAGGCGAAAGCTCGGTTACGCATCCCGGCAGTATCGGCCATGAAGACATCGAGGATGAGATAGACAGCATCATATCCGACCCAGTACAGAACATAACCGGCTGCATAGGAGCTGGGATTGTTGCATGCTGCAAGGATAACAAGTCCAAGGATGTAAACACCGACAAAGACCAAGAATCCTTCCGTTCTTCCCCAGACGTTCAACAACTTCGCTGCAGGAAGTCGAACGACACCACTAATCACGCTAGCTGCAATGCCTGCCGTACTCACTTCGGGAGCAGCTTCAAAGTTGGCGTATGCGTTCTGGATCACATTGCTGCTGACCGAGGACTGTAGCGCTAACATAAAGAAGGAAAGCCAGATCCTGTGGTCGGAAACAGATCATGTTAGCTAAATATGAGCTATCATTATAAGAATGGATGACTTACAGTGCATAAGTGAGATAGGCCATCTTCTTACTCCAAGCCAATGCTGCAGCCTCTGCCTGCTGCATACCACGGGGTGCATCGTGGGTCACCACGTTGGCCGACTTTTGAGCCTCGTCTGCTTGCCAGGCCTCAAGAGTGATCTCATCAGGGTTCCCCTCTCCGTTGCTGGGAGAGGTGACTTCCACCTCATAGCTGAAGTCTTTGAAATCCGCACCAGCCACAGTTTGTGCTAGCTGCACATCATTGCGGCCTCGAGTGATGAGGGTAGGACTCATGGCTGGTGGCCTTTAAATCAAAAGAGAGGTAAGGAATGTGAGTAGTTTGATAGTCCTCAAGGCGTAGTCCTCCGTGATCAGGTAATGTGCGACGACGAGGCGGCCATGAGTGCGGTTTTCAACATTCCGAGGGAGCGGACAGGCTGCGAGCATCGGAGCATCGCATGCAGGAGTAGTGTATCCATTTTGCACGAGGCGCGCTTCCCGATGTAGATCTCTGGGTGAACCCAGGCATCATGCATCTTGACTGGCACGAATGGGCGATGGCAGCGCGGATCAGATAACGTAGTGTGGGATCTGATAAAAATCTAATGGTGTGGTCCTGGCATCGCTCTCTTCCAATGAAATGGCGATCGACTTCAGCCCTTCCTTCCTTGGCAAGGCAG